CATTGAAGTCCGGGCCCAATTCAAGGTGTTGGTGATCACTTATAAAGCCCTAAACAGCTTGGGTCCTGGCTACCTGAAGGAGCGCTTACGTCCATATATGCCCGCCCGCCCCCTGAGAACAGTGGGAGAGGCCCTTCTCCGGGAACCTTCCGTGAAGGAAATTAGGAGGATAGGTACTCGGAGGAGGGCTTTCTCAGCGGTGGCGCCCAATCTATGGAATGTGCTCCCCAGAGAGGTCCGCCTGGCGCCGCTGTCATTTGTTTTTTGGTGCCAGGCGAAGACCTTTTTATTCAAGCGTTATTTTAATTGTTAATGTTATTTTTATTTTAAAGTTTTTTGGCCAGGGCAACTTATTTTATACAGTTATGTGTATTTTATATTGTTATTTATGTATTTTAATTTATTTATTTGTAAGCCGCCCCAAGGCTTCGGCGAATGGGGCGGCCTAGAAATTTTCTAAATAAATAAATACATAATAAATACATACATACATACATAAAATCAGTGCCAGAGACCCAGTCTCTGACCCACCAGCAAGAGGCATTAGGCTGTTTCAGTGGTGGACCCCCATCTTTTGAGCACCTTCCCCAGGGAGGGAGGTATGGCATGTTCAAAACTGGTAGCTTTTAGGAACAACAATCTTGAAGACATACTTATACTAGTCTGCATTGGTGCTTAAACCATTAGTAGCTGCTAATGTTTTATATGCCTCTGTGTTTGATTGTAATATGTATGCTCATGTTTTTGTAATACTGCACATCACTTTGTGAGGGTGCCCTGTAAGGCGGATTGAAAAGCTTTTAAACAAATAGGTCATGTTAATTTAATGTCATAAGCTGATGCAATGTATTATTAACTATCTTTAAATATTCTGACCCTTTTTTCCCTAGCTCCTTTAACTTGAATGAAGCGTTGGCTGTCCTAAGTGAAAAAATAGGTGCTGAAGTTAATAGTTGCCTTTCCCAACATGGATTCACACCTTTCACACCTGAGAAAGAAGCTGTGCTTAAAGGACAAATCCAGGCAGTGGCCAATCCTGATAACACTGTTTGCAAACTGATAGGTATGCTTAGTAGACTGAAGGAGTTTGTATGAGGGAGATTGACCAAAGGAGTTTGAGAAGGTGTGGTAAACAGAGAACAGGAATGCTTTAAATATGTGCATACACACCCTTTCAGAGGAGAGGTTGCAGTGGGTGTATTTGCACATCATGTGAAGCCACCCTGCCAACAAGCCACGGCGGGATGGCTCAGAACAACCCAAGATGTGCCTGACACAGTCATTCTCACTGTGGGTTGTTTCAGCCCTCCTTTCCCTCCTGGTCTCTGGCTGGCAGCAGCACATATCTTGAGTCCTTTTGTGGTGCATTCTGAATCCCACAATGCCTTGCTTCCTTGCAGCCTCTTAAAGAGAGAGGAGCTAACATCCTGAATGGTAATCCCAGTTCACTTGGGCAGTCTCAATGAAAGCAGAGAGTTAATGTGTAAAACCCATTTATGCATCCTCACTGTTAGAAGGCGGTTCAGGCTGCAGCCATATATACACATTCTTGGGAGTGGGCCTCTTGCATAGAATTGCCTTCAATAATCCTACAAGGCTACTTTGTCAAAGGGACAATAGGAAGCTGCCTTGCACTAATTCACACCCTTGATCCAGCTACCCCAATAATGTCAGTGTTGGCCAACAGCAGCTTTCCAAGGTGTCACACAAGATTCTCCCCAGCCCTAATAATACCTTGGGGTGCTGTGAGTAGGTGCAGGGGCCTTGTGCATGCAGGGGGGGCAACCTGCCACTGAGATGCAGCTCCCCCTCTTTTTTTTAAAGGAATGCTTGGCAAGAGGGAGGATGTTCTCCATGCATGATTGGAATATCTGCACGTCATGTGAAGCAGGGCTTTCTTTCGTGTCTATTGATGCTGGTGTCCTCTTGGTACAGGGAGGCTGAGATACACAGGTGTGTTTAGAATGAAGAGGTTACGGGCACAGTCCTATGAAGTTCAGACACGCTGGCTGGGGCATGATGGGAGTTGTCAGCCTTTCTTTCTGTCTAAACTTGCATAGGATTGTGCCTGAGGATGCTGAAGCAGGGATATCAAAGGGATCAGGTTTAGCTCACCTGGGGTCAAATACCCAGAAGGTTCTTTCCTCCCCCCTTTGAAAATGTCCTGACTTGTGAGTGTTTGCCCCACTTCCAAAGGACCGAAGTGTCTTCAGTTAGACCATTGTTGGTGGCGATAAGAGTGGTAAATTAAACCATGCTGCTGCTGTGGCATTTAGGTCCTGTCCACAAGTAGAGTGCAGCTGTTGCAGCTTCTCTGAAACTGAACTTGACTGCAAGAGCTGAGGAAGATTTTAGATAACTATCGAAGCATGATACAGTAGACCTCTCCAAAGTGCGTCTGTCTCGGGTTAGTTCTCTCAAGAGGAAACCAGGATCTCTTTGTTAGTCTTACCAACATACTTACCTCCTTTTTCAAGATTCCAGAATCCAGTCATTTTTGGAGAGCTTCCTTGCTGCTGGTCATCAGAAATCCCTTCCCGCTATTCCTGGTGGATTAGGCCCTGTTCAGAGAGAGCTGGAGGAAATTGCTGTCAAGTATGTCCGCCTTGTCAACTACAACAAGATGGTCTTCGGTCCTTATTATGATGACATTCTCAGCAAAATACTGAATATCAAAGAATTACCACCGCTGTGAGGGGAAAAATGGAGAATCTTGAACTCGTTTGTATGCTGCCCTAAAGGTGAGGGCTTCAACCCAGAGTAGGGTAGGGTAGTAGAAGGCTGCATACCTGCTGTTACAATTATGTTTCTGTCAGACTTACCAGGATTGGAAAGAAGCTGCCTCCTTCAGCCCCCACTTGTCTCTTGGGAGCCCCATGGTCATCTTTGCCATCCCCTGTTCCTTTCCTGTTGCCCAACTGCAGTCCAGGGCTCATGAGAAACCGAGTGAAGCAGGATATGACACAGGTTGGTTTGAGGGCCAGGAGCGTAGCGTGTGATGGCGCAGGAGTGGTGCCCAAGCCATCCTGCCCCCAAAGTCAGTGGGTGTTCTTTATCTCAAAGCTTCTCCCCACCACATCTTGCTTTTTTCCAGTCAGTTGTGCAGAGGGTGCGTGCAAGTGGTGGGAAGAGTTTCTCCCACCTTCCTCTCTTCGTACTAATCTGATGCATCCTGCCACATGTGGAATTCTGGCTGTATGTGTGGATCACATCCATTGGATCAGGCTGGTTAATTCCTATGTGTTGTAGCAACCTTGTGACCTTTGGAAAATGACTTTCCCACAAAACATTTCAATAATTCAGTAGCAGAGATTGAGTACAGAGTGAATATACCATGATGCATTAAAATAGGCTGAGTTAGTATTTAATTCCAAGCAAGAGTTAATTTTGCTCTTTGAAATGGAACCCCTGGCAAAACAAAAATGGTAGTTGTTGAAGCCAGCTGTTAAGCATGAATTTTGATGCAAAAGAGTTAGTAAAGTTACCTTTTTACACTAAGTTATAGTTGCTAGAACAGGCTTTAAGAACCATATAACAGTAATGTAGTTTTCCACAAATTCAAAAGTTGGATATTGCTGGTTAAAGCACTTTATATATAGTCTGCAAACTAAGGCTCTTAGCCTTTCTGCCAGTCATGGTTTTTTCTATGATACTTGTTTCTGTACCTGCAGGTATTCTACCAAAAGCATATATATTTTTGTAGAGTATTTTCTGGTTCTTCTCTACTTCAGTATTCACATGAATGACAAGATGGTGTTTCTCACTTCTGCAATGTGAGAACTAAAACTTCTTTTGATAAGAGTGATATTTCTTGGGGTTTTTGTTGCTGGTAACATAAAATGCTAATAGACAAGTAAAACTTTCTATGTCTGAAGCAGCTGGATAAAGATGTATCCATTGAATCTGCTGCTGGAGTTTATATGGTAAAAGTATTTATATAATAGAAGATGGGCTAAGCTCCTAGTTTGAGACACCCTTTAAAGAGAGTACCAAGCCCTCACTCCAAGTATCCTTGGCATGCGGGTGCAGGTGTGCTGCCTGGCATGTGCCCCAGTAATCAGAGAGGGCCAGCACTGACACCCGTGAATTCTGCTCCTTCCCCCCTTGCTGCTGCTTCGCCCCATAGAGCAGCCTTTTGCAGGCTTCGGCCTGATCAAGCAGGCAATCCACCGGCAGGATGCCGATTTCCATGAAAGAGGTCATTTGTATGCTTGGCAATGATGTTTATAGTAGGTTGCAAACTATTTTTAATGTTCCATGGAGTTTGTGGAAATTTTACTGCTAAGTTTTTTTTTCTCCAGGAGTTTATAAATATGGATGCTTGAGAAAATTAACAGTGTTTCTTAACGAGATGACCTATTCATTGCTTTTCCACATGACTAAAGGAAACATAGATACTAAGTCAAAAATGTGGAAGACAAGAATAAGCTTGCATAGTGGCTTTAGAAATTGGTCAGAAAGACAGAGCACTCCATTAAGCAAGTAGTTTGTTTACACCATGAATAATTAAGCAAGAGCTATTTTGGTACAGTCATTTAGAACATAGACTTCTTAATCAACCAGACCAAATACCCCAGCATTTTCTATTCTTCAGTGCATGTAACATTCTCCCTAAGTATTAGGCCCTTTGCATTTGAGATCTAATTGCTTTCAGGGTTTGAATATAAGGCAAATTTATGAGTTCAAAATTATTCCTATCTGTGAAAAAAGTTTACCTTGGATTACCCAAACTGTTACTTTGCTACCCAAAGTAACAAACTGGGCATTGTTAACATGGAGAAAGGCTAAGCACAGTTCAGTCAAAGTTAAACACAACTCTCTCCCATTGGAATTGGCTAGATGTTAGAATACTGTATGTAGTGTTGCCTGGATTGTGTCTGTCTGTCTACATTGATTAAAATACAATCCCTGTTTCTAGCCAAAGGAATTGTTAGCTTAGCTTAAGCTCCCTCTCGCATTTGACCATTGAAAAAAAACCCTGCTGTTGTGTAGTTTGAAGTGATGCTGCTGCAGTCCTATGGCTCCTGGGACTCTTAGGCCCCAGTGGGACTAAGATAGTTTGGTTCTTCTCTAAGCAGAGGAAGGGAGGAAGAGGTCCGCCCTTGACGGAGTTCTCATACGCCAGCTGTCCCCTGCACAGCAATGGCCTTTCCAATGGCAGAGAAATTGTGCATTTGTATTTTAAAGGCATCACAGCATTGAGGGGAAGAAAGGAACCCACCACCCTTCCCTCTTTTCCATTCTTACCTGTATGAGCCTGATGGGGCTGTAGATAAGGCAGTTTATCTATCCTTGGTTCTCCCTGCCCCCACTGGGAGCATAGGTTTGTCCATACATTGGAAAGGGAAAAAAATTGTAAATGGATATTCAGTATTTATCAACATTATCTAAATTGTATGTGTTTGTGTATTTCTTTGAAGCTATGAATACTGTGAAGTACTGCTTCTTTGGTGTTTATGTTGTCTGTACCTTACCTGCATCATTGAGAATTAACTTCTGTGTAATAAATAATTTTATGCAATAGACTGGATGTTGCAATTTCAGATCATTAGCATTTAACCTAATTCTTTCTTTCGGTTTGCATGCAGTTCTAACTTAGCATCTTTTTATTGTTCCTTTTGTTATTTCAGTAATGTTTGCTATACGTGTCAGTTTTTCTTGTGTATTTGTATATACATGTTGTCCTAGATGGGAAAGTGATGGATTAAAGGTTCTTCAAGAACTACAGGTATGCAGAGGTGTTTCACCTGTTGAGTTGCTCTAAAATGGATGAGGAAAAGGTAAACAGAATCTACTTGTAGATCTGTCTAGACAATTGCAGTAGATCACCAAGGTTCTGATTCCCAATAATTTTACAATAGTAGCATCAATAGTAACATCCTTCTTTGTGGGCTGAATAGAAAACTTGCGGGGGAAAGATTAATTAGGAGTGTTTTGGTTATCTTGCAGTTGTGGGTGACAATTTTTTTTTCGTACTCAACAAATTCCTGGGCTCAGAATTTTTCAGTTTCAATCTTTATCCTTTGTACCTAGCTCCATTTTGAAATCTTAGTAAAAACAGCATAAATCTTGCAAGCCTAAGTTTTGACTGCCCCTGCTATGGTAGGAAATTCTTTAGATGCAGGGTACTGCAAACAATGTGGTAGATGCTGAAAGCCTCTCCTGGAATGCCAGTGACCACATGACAGAAATGATAATTATCTGTAGCTCTCATTCACACTGCTGTGTTGGGTATTACTGACTCCGGTTACTGAGCAGCTGCAGTAGGATGGTAGCATTGTGTTTAAAAAAGCTTGAAGGCTACAAGCTTGTCTCTGCATGCAGCTTTGCAACAGTGAAGATGGTATGTCTTTCCATTATGTAATTTTTTGCATGAATTCATAAATCCATCCGCATGAATCTGGATTTTTAAAAAACGGGCATGTAAATTTGGCCATTTGAAAAAAATATTCTTTGGTGTACACTCTTGAGTAAGAGCTCTCTTTCCTGGCTCCCTCTCATAGTATCAGCTGTAATATTGAGAATTCATATGTAAACTGACTCTTAAGTTACAGTCTGGGTTATGATTGTTTTGTTCTTCTAATATAAAAAAACTGCATTTGCTAAAGGATATACACCGCACTTTCAGTGAACAATGTATAGTTCTACCTGCATTTGCCTGGTATGTACGAAAGTGCCCCTACTAATGCAGTTAATGATGTCATTCCTGTTCTGTGTATGGAATTTGATAGCCAGATAAGAATAGGCAAGTTGAGATCACACAACATCCAACTCCAAAAATTAAAATCTGTAAGCACTTATTCTATTAAGTGTCAGACAGCCTCTGAATGAACAACCTGCTTCCTTTAATCCCAGGCCTTTGGCATTCCTGACTGGTGCTTAGGGGAATTGGAATCAAACTGCCAAGGAGGCACTGTATTGGCCAGGCCCTTGGCTTTACCTTTATAACAAGCTACATAGAGCAGAACCAGACCATGTAATATCGTTGGTAAACTGGCATCATCAGATCTTCATTTCTTGGCCTGTCATTTCCTCTTAGGAAACCCTTTTAAGTGTTAGGAAAAAGATAATGCGGGTTTCAAGGGCTTGTTAAGGATCCTTCACAGTAGCATCTGCTTCAGCAAACACGCTTCCAAAACTATGGTTTTAGTTTAGCTCATCCTTGCAGCCTGCTTAATAATAGATTCATAAAATGGTTAGTCAATGCTTTTGACCAAATGCAAAAATGAACTTTGATCATAGTAATTCATTTAGCAACTGTTGTGGTATGCTCAAACATTAAAAGGTTATGTGGAATATGACAGCAAAACAGCAGCCATCTGACTGTCAAACAAAATGAATAGGAGAGCTTTTATTGAAAATTATTTCAAAACTCATTTTCTTCAGGTATTTGAAAAACAGTGTGCACATCCAGGATTAGAAAAAAAAATTGAGGCAAATGAAGTCCCATACCATGGAAGCCTGATTCCCTGAGACAGAGGGCTTTTAGACCTGCTCCTGCTCTCCTTCCCAACCTCCAAGTAGCCTTCAGTCCCCATTCTAGGCTGGCTTTGTTAGCAGCTTTTAGTTAGTGCTACTTATTACTGCACTAGCAAGAGAACAGCATGAGCCAAAACATTATGGAGAGCCTTTATTCGAAAGGAATGGTTTTTCAGTTTAAACTACAAAACAGTTTCCATTCATTCTGCCATAAATAAAAACAAAGAATAAGGCAGGACAGACACTACATGAGCAAACCGAGAACAACTGCTTGTTTTTCCAGAAGTGTGAATTTAAAATATTTCACAATTATAAGCTATACAGTTTTTAAAATAAAACTGTAAGAATCCCCACAAGATCTCATGGTAGAGAGGGATACATTTGAAGAGCAACCAGATGCAGTTCAGACATTTTGTGTGGTTTGTGTTCAAAACCAAATTCCTGCCATAGCTCAAATTTGCTTGTTCTTAAGATCCATCTGCCCTTTTTTCTTTTTTGGATGAGGATCCAGCTGGTAAAAAAGAGGCACCACAGTAACAAAACAACTTCAGTTGCAAGATGCATGTTAGAAATTTCAATCCCTTTTAAACATTTGATTTGTGGAAGGAAAAAAATTGGTATAAGTCCTTGTTTTGCACAGTTGTGTTTGCAAAGTTTCATCGGATTCGCTTTTGTTGCCGTGCTCTGTAAATGTCATGAATAGGAGGAACCACTGAACCTTTTTCCTCGTCGTCATCTGAATCTTCATTTGGTCTTTTCACAGATTTATTGAGAAGGGCATTGTTTTCCAAAGGTCCATTCCCTTCCATTGATAGGTCAGGCAAACCTCCAGTAATGATTCTTACTGCTTCATCTACACCTTTGGAAAAGGGAAGAAGATTGTTGGCTTAATGAAAAATACAGTTACAGGAAAAAGTCCATCACTTAAAAATGACTAGTTTCTTCAAAATACTAGAGCAAACACTGCACATGAACTGCAATCCTTTTTTTATACAGCTTGGCAAAACCCTATTTATGTATTAAAATTTCTTTCCCAGGGTTCAGTTCAATAACACTCAGGGTAGTTAATGAATTTTTAGCTAGCCTGTCTGCCTTCCTATTTATTTATCTATCGCTTTTATAGACCGCCCATCTTCTGCTGTCTCAGGACGGTTTACAACAAAGCAAAAGATAAAATAGGGCACAGCATCCAGTAATTCAATAATATAAAAACCACATTAAAACCAATTAAACATTAAAATAATGGGAAAATAAAAAGGATTTTGCTTGGTGCTGAAAAGAAAAAAGCATCAGAGCCAGGCGGACCTCTCTGGGAAGCATATTCCATAATCGGGGCACCACTGCAGAGAAGGCCCTCCTCTGGGTAGACACCCTCCTAATCTCTTTCAAGGAAAGCTCCCAAAGAAGGTCAAGGGGCAGGAGGGCATAGAGGGAAGGAGGTGCTCCTTCAAGTATCCAGGACCCAAGCCATTTAGGGCTTTATAGGTCATGAGCACCTTAAACTAGGCCAGGACTTCAATTGGCTTGATAAGGATGAAGGCACTGTTCAAAAACTTTTGGAAATCTGTAGATTTCCAAATCTACAAATCTACATGGTAATGGACTGGTAATGGTAATGCGTCCATATATGCCCACCCACCCCCTATGATCGACAGTGGATGCCCTTCTCCGGAAATCGTGAAGGATATTAGGAGGGTGAGTACCCGGAGGAGGGCCTTTTCTGTGGTGGCGCCCCACCTACGGAATGCTCTCCCCAGAGAGGTCTGCCTGGCGCCGTCAATATTTGCTTTTCGGCACCAGGCAAAGACCTTTTTATTTAAAAGTTATTTTAACTGTTAATTTATTCTTATTGTATTTATAGATTTTAATATATAGCCAAGATGGTACCAGTTTTTAAACTATTGATTGTATTTTTATGTCGTGAGCCACCCCGAGCCTTTGTTGCGATGGGGGCGGCATAGAAATGATTTAAATAAATAAATAAGTGCAGTCTCAGAAAATGAGAACAAACAGTAAATCTCTGAAAAAATATATTCAAACACTATATGTACTACAGCTCATCATTCACTATTTGAACTAGAAATCCTCTAACCAATTATTTAAGTATCTAACAGCAGGGGCTTACATCATTTTTGTCCTTAATAAAGCACTATGCTTGATCAGGATCAAACTCAAAGAGCAATCTTATCACTCCCTAAATTCTCAATAACTGAAATAGCCATCCCCAGGAGTTCAGAATATCAATTAAACAACACCACACAGTGACACCCCATATGTCTCGAAGAGGACAAAAATTACTTACTGTCTGGGAGTTTGCATCTCCTGACAATCTCCATGAGTTCATCCACTTGCACAAATGGGCCCTGCAAGAGCAAAAGAACAAAGAGGGTCTGTTTAACAGGAAACACGCTATACAACCATCATAATTAAATGTAATAAAATTGTAATGCATTCAAGTAGAACGCTCTCAGATTGCAAAGCTTTAAAAATATTTCAAAATATTATGACCCAACCTGAAAACACACAGGAGGTGGGAGAAGCTTCATTAGAACTACAGCAGCAGGAGGGACAGGAAAGACACCACCAGGAACTGGGTGCAAACCCGGAGCTAGTAAGCAAGAAAACAATTCACATTTTAGTCTTAAGAAAGGAACAAGACAATGGGATGCATGTTTTTCATTTTAGGGGGCTGATCTTACAAAGCATCATACAAGAAATGAGCAAAAGCTGGGGAAACCAGGGAGTGCAGTCCTACTTCCCAGCCTTCTTTTTATTCTATGCCCTCCCAACAGATGCCAGGCAAGTTGAGAGGATGTTAGCAAAAACACCTCTCATTCATCCTTTTTAAAAACAGTTTCCGCTGGATGCGCCTCTTGGCACATCAAGCTGGCCTACCACACTTCAGGAAGGACAGGTGATGCAGAGCATTCAATTCTTGTGGATACGACCCTTTCCACCTTCCTAACCTCCATCCCTTTGCCTCCCTGTGATTCTTCTGATGTTGTGGCAGACATGGAAGGGCTGCAAGGGCATGGGGGAAAGGTGT